GGAGGAGCGCCTCCATCCTGTTCAGACCCTCGAGGAAAGCCGCGGACCTCCAGGAGACCTCTGGAAACATCAGGTTAGCTTTCGTCAACGGAATCCTGTGTGTGTGTGTGTGTGCGTGTGTGTGTGTGTGTGTGTGTGTGTGTGTGTGTGTGTGTGTGTGTGTGTGTGTGTGTATCTTCACATGTGCGTGTCCTTGTTCAGGCGGAAGTCTTCAAGGAGGACTTCCTGAAGGAGCGAGGGGACAGAGAGAAGCTCCATCACAAATACGGCGAGCTGCAGAAGAAACTGAGAAAAGTCCAAGATGAGCTGCACTGTCTTAAATCACAGGTATACATATTTGACGGCAATATTTCCACATAAGAAATATGTTGTTACCACGGCAACCTCGCTTGAAACTGGGTGGACGTGTCTATTGTAACGGAACACAGCAAAAAGTGGATAAATAAAAATTGAACAGGAAGTCAGCCATTTTACGTGAAAGCAGTCATTTCAGGAAAATTGAAGGGATGAGACTTTTGTCATCTAAACGCCTCAAAAACAATCATTTTGTCTTAATTATAACATAATTACTGACAATGAATGACTTTGTTGTTTAGGCCAGTTGGACCCGCGTCTTGCAGCCCGTGGTGGACTGCAATTGCAAGTGGGCCGAGCAGCGCAACGCCCGCGTCCATAAGAAATAGACCCATGTGTGAAGACAAGGACGCCTCGTTGGAAATCATTGGCCTGAGAGTCTTGAGTGATGTCTTCGGAATCGGATTTGGCCTAAATGAATTTATGTGCCCAACTGTCTGAAGGACATGCAAGGACGACAGCAAGGCAGGCAGCAGAGCAATTTGAGGAAAAATCTCTGGCGTCCTCTAGAGGCGTTTAATGTGAATTGCATTTTTTACCTTCAAATATAGCACTGACCGAACATGCACGTGTTGCCAGTTTGTTTGCAGTTTGTACAATGTGTCAATAACACAATTCGTAACATTTTCACTGACCTCAAACAGAAATAAAGGTATTTTCTTTCTACCTCACAACAAATCTTGTGCAATAGCGTCCTACTTTTGCATTCTCTGTGGACAATATTTATTTGTATGTTCGTTGTATGGAATGCAATTTTCGCCATAAAAAAGCAATAATTAAGAAATCAGTCCTCTTCCATTATTATTATTGTTTTGTGATTATTATTGTTGTGGGTGTGACAAGCGACATTAAGTGGTAACTTTCCAGCCAATGAAATGAAGCGCTTTACAGGTGTTTACTTACGCAGCCAATCAAATTTAACGTTACTTTGCGGAGTATACGTATGCGTCGGTTAGCTAGCAGGTCAATTGTGCTAACTTAACACGTTACTGTGGCCAAAAGAACGGGCAGTGACACATTCCAACACCAAGTCAAAGTAAAAAAACAAAACAAAACAAAAAAAAAACATGGTTCTTTTAGATGTAATGGTTGTAGAAGTACGTATGTGCGAATCGACGAAAGTGACGTCAAACTGAGAGAATCTTTTTTTCTGTCAAATGACAACACGTGTTTCTGAGGAACTAAAGGGACGTCTAACATCTTGTGGATATTTGTGCTATCCATTTAAAGCAGCCAGAGCGAATTGTGAAACGGTTTCAGTGTTAAAGAAATGACTCAAAGCGGCATCCGGACATCATTTTGAAGTGGTACATTTTGAGCGTCCGATGTGGATTAAAGTCCAAGAAAGAAGCAGACGGAACCACCAACCCGGATGGACAAAGTGTCTAACCACTTGGAGAAGTGAGGACGGCCAGGAAAAATAAGGTAAAATGGGCATTCGTCATGACATGCTTAGATTCTGAGTAGTAGGAAATTTCCATTATTTTCTGTTGGCACTCCGACTAGAAATGCTAATAAAAGCGGTGCAATTATATTTTTCGAAGACAAAGCATAAAAGTGTGATACTGGTGCTACTCACAGTGGTTCAAAGAATTCTCAGGGGGTTGTGTGTATGCTCAGACGCTTGTAAAATGAAGGGGAATGTTACTAGATGGAACTGCTACGAAACAAACTTCATACCAAAGCATTCATGGACTTTATTGGCACAATTTGAGCAGCAAAGTGTTTGTGTGCTTCAATGTGATAGTCCTTTAATTGCGTGATGATTGTCACAAGCACGGTGATTGTATTAAGTGTACTGTACAGGAGCGCTTTTTTTGTTGCACCATAAATAGTCCCGTTGGATTTCGAAGGATGCTCATTCCAAAACAGAATAATTTACAAAAGTGTCCTATAGCAAGCTGCTGCAAAAAATGTGATGTTTATGAACAAGGTGGCCCTGAAGTGTAGACACAAGGGACACCCTTACAGAGCCCACTGGACATGAGTGGGGAAAAAATTAAATTGCAGTGACCACACAATAGGAATAACGTGCACACAAAATGTTGGGTTTAACAAGTCTGTCAAGTTTCCGCTTGAAGTCCAAGCAAAAAAAAAAAAAAATGACAATGGGTCACTCGTATCTCAAGGCACCACTTGCTTCTCTTTTGTACAGATAAATATGTTAAATACATTCTGCGAGGCTGCGTTGAGGCACGTAGCAGGAGTTTGTCAATAGAAGGCGGGATTGGTGTGCTCGATGACGCATTTGCGGCAGTGGCGTCGCACGAAGCGCAGCGCCTCCGGCGACACCTCGCACTCCTGCACGTTGAGCAGCTGCAGCTGGCAGCAGTTGGCGGCCAGTGCCTGCAGGCCGCGCCCCGTCACGCTCTCGCACGCCCGCAGGCTGACGCGGCGCAGACCGCCACAGTACAGGGCGAGTTGCTCCAACCCGGCGTCCGACACCAGCGGGCACTTGCCAACGTCCAGGGATTTGAGTTTGGGGCAGCTGCGCGCCAGATGCCCCAGCCCGTGGTCCGTTAGCCCCTCGCAACCGCGGGCGTTCAGGTAACGCAGCTTGGGGCAGTAGCGCGCCACGTAGCGCACCCCCACGTCGGTGATGCGTGCACAGTGGGCCACGCTCAGGTAGCGCAGGCAGCCCTCCAAGCGGGCCACCTCGCGCAGCCCGAAGTCGCCCACCAGGCGGCAGTCGCTCAGGCTGAGCTCGCGGATGGACGGGCAGTGCAGGGCCAGGTGGCGCAGCGCTTCGTCGCTCAGCCGCGTGCAGCGCCGCAGGTAGAGGTGCGTCAGGCGGGGGCAGTGTGTGGCGATGATGCGCAGGCCTTCGTCCTCCAGGCAGAAGCAGTCGGTCATGTCCAGGTAGTGGATGGAAATCTGCTGGCCGTGCAGGGGGGACAGCTGGAGCGACGCCTCCTCTGTGAGGCTGATGCATGTCACCTTGGAGCAGCCTGCAGGGGGTGCAAATGAGACAATCCTCAATTGTGACTTTTTTTTTTTTTTTACACGGGTGCAATGGTCAAACTTGGGACCTGACTTGCCAAAGTGCCAACAGCTATTGCGGCTTGGCACGGTTCGATGTGTGCGAACATCGTGTGGCTTTCGACACAAAGTGCCAACACGCTTGTAAAGACACACTTTGGAACTCGTAACGATTTGAGCCTTCAAATATCCCTCTGACAGGCAGCAATCACATTTGAAAGTGTTTGACGCACATTTTAAATGTGTTGGAATTAAAAAAAAAAAAAATTAACAGAAAAGTGTGGAATATAATAGGACAGGGGTGTCAAACTCATTTTAGTCGTGGGCCAATTTGGAGTTACGTCTTCCCTCGGAGGGCCGTTATGACAGTGAAAGCACAAAATGATTACTTGTACACAACAAATGAATAGATTACTAGTTTTGAAAACAGTCAAGTCAATTCTAATACAGTCAAACCTCGGTTTTCGAACGTCTCTGTTCTCGACCAAAAATTTCGAGTTTTTTTTATGCCTCGGATGACGACCGAAAATCAATTCTCGACCAAACTGAGCGCACTTGAATGCGCCACTTGACTCCTCCCGCTTTCCTTACACGAGGAAGTGACGCTTCCTTCGGTAGACGAGGAAGTGATGCTTCCTCGTGTAGCGTTCTATTGTGAGCAGACGTCTTCAATAAAGTTTTTTTTTTTTTAAAAGAGCGTGGTTTCGGTTTTTGAACAAATCGGTTTTCGAACAGCCTTCTGGAACAGATTATGGTCGAAAACTGAGGTATGACTGTAGTTTGTTCAATTATTGTTCAAGTGAGTGTAAACAGGATAACAAAATGATTTCAACAATCTCAAACTGATTCATTACACATGACAATTTGACATTTGGGTACAGATTTTAGCAAGTTGACACACGTGATTTGCTTTCGCGGGCCGCATAAAATGACCTGGCGGGCCAGATTTGGCCCCCGGGGCCTTGAGTTTCACACCCGTGCAATAGGACCGCAACAGGTGAAAATAATGTGGAATTACGATCAAGGCAGACATTTTCGGACAGCTCGCAATAAGATGCTTGCGCAGGTGTACCTAATGAATCGTCCGATGAGCGTCGGGACTACCTGAGAGGTCGAGGTGCTCCAAGTTGGGGCACTGCGACACCACCTCGAACACGGCCTCGTTGGAGACGTTGTAGCAGCCGGCCACTTCCAGTCGGCGCAGCTCGGGGCAACACTGGGCCAGCACGTGCAGCCCGCGGTCGGTGAGCCGCTTGCAGCCGCTCGCCACCACCGTCTCCAGGGTGAGGCACACGTTGGGCGTGTCCTGGCACAGCCGGTGGGTCAGCACCCGCACGGCGCGGTCGGCGTGCAGCAGTTCGCCGGCGAGCCGCACGGTGCGCCACAGCCGCGGGTCCCACGCCAGGTTGTACCAGCGGCGGCACACGCGGGCGCAGCGGCACAGCTGGTTGGTGGGAAGGTGCGAAAAGATCTGCAGCAGGACGCCGTCGGGGAGGAGGTCGGCGGGGGAGTGGCCTCTGGAGACGCGGGTGTGGGCGCGGGCGCCCGGCTGAGGGTGGACCACGGCCACCGTCTCGGAAGCGGCGG